TGCCAGGCCTGCAACCCAAACCGCACAGCCAGCCGTGTGGGAGCCAGTCACCCCGGCCCCGGCTGACCCCACTGGTGTGTAACTCATCCACTCCCTTCCCAAACCTGGGCCTGAGGGCAATTAGGGTCCTCATTCCTCTCAATGGAAACGAAGCACAGAAAGGTGACACATGTGGCCTGGTCACCTGCTGTAGTGACAGTCGGGGTAAACCCAATCATGCTGTCCCACGCTCCAAGGAGAACAGATGGAACCCAGGAACTCAGGAGGCAATGGCTCCGGGCCGGTGTCCACAGTCCTCATCCCAGATGGGCTAGGAGCTGGGTTTGCTGCTTCGTTCTCCTAGAAAACAAGGCAGGCCTGGGTTCAAGTCCAGACCGTACTGCAGAGCTGCTGTGTGACCTTGGGCAACTCCCTTCACTTCTCTGAGTTTCATGTCCCTTCTAGAAGATGAGATAGTAACAGCACTGCTGTGCCCAGATCTCGCAAGCATGGAGGACAGTGAACGCAGCCGTGGCCACCACGCCGGCCTACCGAGGACAGTGAACGCAGCCGTGACCGCCACGCCAGCCTTCGTTCCCTCTCCTTCAAACACCAGCTTCCTTGGCCTCCAGCACACCTGGTTTCCGCAGACCTTTCTCGACTGCCTCTCCAGGTTCCTCTCATCCCCTCACCTCACCCCTTCCCTTTTCAACTTGCCAAAGGAGACATGAGCTCTCCAGAGATAGAGAGCTCCCACCGGGGAATGGTCACATTGTGATCCCTTCCCCATCTCTCTCCGTGGGGATTTTGGGCATGCCAGCACACGCCCCACCAGTTTCACAGTCCGCCAGGCCCGGGGCTCCAACCACGCATGCCGGGGTGGGATCTAGCCCTCCCCTCACCACCGGGGGTGGGGGGCGGGAGGGGGGTGCTGGCCCGGGCTCACAGTTTCCTAGAGGCCTGGCCCAGGCTTCCCTCGGCTCTCTGAGCTGATGCCCTCAGGGTCATAGCTCAAGCCACCTCTCCCCTGCACGCTGGGCTCATCTGTCATCTCTAACAGCCTGGGTCAGAGCTCAACGACAGCCCATGGGCCAAAGCCAGCTAAGAGCGGGTTTCACATTTTCTAAACCACCAGGAGAAGATCAAAGATGACGACCAGGACCGGGAGGCATGCAACTCCACCGCGGCTGGGAGGCCTGGGTGGGCGCTCCGGTGGCGCGCTCCTGCCCTCCTGGGGAGCGCCGTGTGGGGCACCTACCGGGTGGCACCCGCGGACCTTTCTAGACGCCGTCTCCTAACAAGTAGCTTGGCCGGGACAAGGCAGGCCAGCGGGGTGGTGGGCGGCGGCCACGTGGACCACGTTCTGGCTCACATCCGGGCCCCTAAGCACACCAGGCACATCTGTGCCCACTGCACCGCCCAGAGTGGGGGAGAGGGTGGGCAAGAGGCCCTGCTGGGAGGGCCTCTCCACCTACCAGTGATTCTCTAATGAAGAAATAAGCAAACAACAAAAGCCTGGCAGACGGCGTAGTGGTTAAGGGCACTGGACTCCCCCATGGCTGACCATGGTTCAAGTCCCAGGCCTGGCAGCTTGCTTTCTCACTTTCCCTCTCTCTGTGTTGCTCTGTCCCTCTCTGGTCAAATTTAAATAAATAAATAAATAAATAAAGTTTAAAAACAAGAACAAAAACAAAAACCACCTGGCCCAGCCTCGGTGGCAGCGATGAAATTGTGCTAAACTGTGGTGCTGAAAGCCACATGGCCGGCCCCAGGTTCCAATCCCCTGTCATCCTGGAACACAGGAACAGGCAGGTGCCCCAGATCCCGATGCACTGCAGCTGGGGGAACGGGGTCGAACGTGAGGAGGCCGCCTCAAGGGTGCCCAGCTCTCACTCTCTCACACGCGCAAGCACACGCTCTATCGTGAGCAAAACAGATTTTAAAGCTTCTCAACGCGCCCAACACTGAGCCTGGGCTACCGCTCCTTAACGAGGAGTTAGGGGGCCGGTTCCTGACTGGTGGCTAAGGCAGCCGCATCCCACGTGGCTCCTGGTTCAAGGCCCAGATTCGGTGGCTGGAATGTGCGTGTGCCCAGAGCCCTGACAGGGTGGAGGATGGGAGAGGGATCCAACGCCACTGCACCCCTACTGTCTGCCTTCCTCTAGTTAAATGCACCCCTACTGTGTGCTTCCTCTAGTTAAATGCACCCCTACTGTCTGCCTTCCTCTAGTTAAATGCAATGTCCTCTGACAAAATCCAAAACTGACAGTAATAAATTAGATAAGAGAGAGTAAAAGAAATAGAATACCTGCTCTTCCCTTTCAGGAATAGCTGCAGTGCCCAGGGTGGGCTGGAGGGGCTGGAGGGTACCCCTCTCTCACACACACACGCATGCACACGTGCTCGATCGTGAATAAAGAAAAAATTATAAAAAATTTGAGAGGTTTTTGCTATAGGGCACATGCGCTTGCCAGAAAGACAGAGACAGAGAGACAGAAAGCGAGAAATCACTCCCCAGGGGGATGACCATGCCACAATCCCTTCTCCTCCATTCTCCTCTCGGGATCTTGGGCACACACGCTCACACACCCGGCGTGAGTGAATTTAAGCCACCGGGTCCGGGACTTGAACAGCAGTTCACTACATGGGAGCCCAGCGACATAGCCATTACGATAACTGCTGGCCCTGAAAAAGCAAATCTTTAACAAATAAAAAGAACAGCTCTCCGGTTCCCGGGTGCTTGGGCCAAAGCCTTAGAGTGGGGAGGCTCTGAGGCATCGGCTGACCCTGACTCGGCTCACCTCGGGGACAGGTGCCCACATCTGCAGTGAATGTGCGATTTGGGTTGTCCCGGCCCAGGAGGGTTCTGCTGGGTCTAACCGGGCTTCCACGCCACCTGCAATGTGCAGGGGTGCCCCGGCCGAGCAGGGGCGCCGAGGCTGAGAACGCCTACTTTGCAGAAGCGGCCTCCCCTCACGTCCACAGCGGCTGCCAGCAGCCCCAGCCCAGGCGGCCTCAGGATGCACCTGGACTTGGAGTCACTTCCCCAGGGAAGCTGCCACCCAGCGTGGACGGCCGCCCCCTGCTCTCCCGTTCGCTTTCCCCTTTGTCCGTCCTCAGCGCAGCAGCAGGGGCCAGCCTGTTCACACTGGAGCAGCCCTTGTGGCTCCTCAGCTCAGGAGCTTCCGGCAGCTCCCATCTCGCAGTGAAAGGTAGGGTCCTCTTGGGGCCTGGGCC